GATGCTTGGTGGAAAGCCAGATTCCGTGATCTGCCTGCTTCCAGCACCGCACTTCAGGTCCTTTTTAAGGGCTGGGACAATTGGAATGTCCATACAGACGAAGAGACTCACAAATTTATGGTGCAGACCATCAAAGACATCAATATGCAAGTCATAGAAGGTAATTTCTCAATTCTGTCTGTTGTTGCCCATTCTGTTTTTAGTGATGATGCTAATCTTTTCTGTCTGTACTCAGATCCCTCTTTGACAAAGAATATAGGCAGCCAACCAGCCCAAAGTGGAGAGGTGTTTGGTAAGTTGTGATGTTTGTTCAGTTTCTCCTACTACTCCTCTACTGGATCGACCCTTGACTTTTGTCTTCTGCATAGTTAATTCTGTTATTGCTGCTGGGGATCTGGAGCTGCCCTCCGGGGATGGAGAAGAGGAAGAAGAAGAAGAGGAGGAAGATCAGGTAGAACAGACTCCTGTTGAGGCCACTTCTCCTGTTAAAAGAAAAAGAAAAGAAACTGCCCAGTCTGTGACTCCAGGTATTCTTTGACAGTTTCCTTTTTTGAGTTCTTCATAATCCTGTTCTGTCAGACTTATTTTCTGTCTGTTGCAGTTGGAAGTCCTTCTCCTCCTCTTACTAAGTCAAAAAGACTTAGAAAGAAGTTTGTAGAAGAATACGTGGCCCCGGAGGGAACTGGGGCAGTTCCTACCACCACTTCTGGCACGGATGACGATCTAAGAGAGGCTTTCGAAGCTGTGGAGCAAGAAAAGGAGCTGGAAGAGCTAGAAGAAATAGGAGAGGGGCCTCAAGAAAAAGCCAAGTCAGTGGAAGAAGAGGTGAGTCTGTATTTATATATGGGAGTATTTGTTCTTGCTGCACTTTGATTTATTCTGTTCTGACTTCTGTGCATTTGTAGGAGGAAATTCCTCCAGGTATTTTTTGACAGTTTCCTCTTTGAATTCTTCATAATCTTGTTCTGTCAAACTTATTTTTTGTCTGTTGCAGTTGGAAGTCCTTCTCCTCCTCTTACTAAGTCAAAAAGACTTAGAAAGAAGATTGTAGAAGAATATGTGGCCCCGGAGGGAACTAGGGCAGTTCCTACCACCACTTCTGGCACGGATGATGACCTGAGAGAGGCTTTCGAAGCTGTGGAGCAAGAAAGGGAGCTGGAAGAGCTGGAAGAGGTAGGAGATGAGCCTCAAGAGAAGGCCAAAATAGTGGAAGAAGAGGTGAGTTTTATATACTTGGCAGTATTTGTTTCTGCTGCACTCTTATTTCCCTGCTCTGACTTCTGTGCATCCATAGGAGGAAATTCCTACCGAGGTGATAGCGGAGAGTATTGCCTTGGCTCGGAAGCAGCAGGAAGATATAGGGACAGGGCTAACCAACTTAGAGGTGGCCCTTTTTGATGATCCAGAGGCAGAACATTCCACTGCCGCTCCAACAGCTGAGGATCAGGCAGAGCAAATTGGATCAGAGCCTGGGGAAGAATCAGAACAAGTGGTTCCTGCTCCTGAAACCATAGTAGAAGTGGCTGCTGTCGTTCCTGGCTTCATGGTGAGTTCTGCCCTTACTTTGTCTTTTCCTGTCTTATGTGGTTCTGTCATGTTCCTCTATCTCTCTTTGCCCCTCAAATCTTTATAGGCAGAAACATCGAAAACTGCTGGGATCTTGGTAGTGAGGACCATCCCCTCGCAGCCTCCGATTGTTGCTGTGAGTGCTTTTGTACTTTTTGTTTTCTTCTTTTCTGTTTCTGCCTTGTTTTGACTTATGCTTCCTTCTACAGATGCCTATACATTCCCTTGCAGGTTCATCTGCCACGGCCTCTTTTGCTGATCCGGAGCTGGCAGAATTTGAAGCTATGGACCTAGATGCCCAGCTGGATAAGTTGGAAAAGCTCAGCTCTCCTGTTGGTAAGATAAAGTCCAGGGCAGTGGAAGAAGCAATGGAGAGACTGAAGATATGACAGTCTGCTGAATTGGAGCTGGATGAGGACAGAGAGGCCTTTGACCAGCTGATGAAGGATCTGGATCTGCTGTACAGACAGAACATGGCCCCAAAACCCATACTTGAGATGAGCCTTGGCTTGGCAAGGGATGTGCTTAACCTTCACGACCGTTATGAAGATTTGAGGCCCACCTTCAAAACCTTTGAGTTCTGCAAGGCCACTCATGAAGCCAACTTGGCTGACTTTGCAAAGCAGAAATCAGAGCTGGACCAGATGGTTGCGGGGTACAAAGAAGCCAAAGCTACTGCTGATAATTTGGAGAAATAGATTGCGGAGCTTCAAAGGCAGCTGGCGGAACGCCGGGAAGTGCAGCACAGACTCGGGGCTGGATTGAGCTCCAAGACCAAAGCCACCTTCCTTGTGCAGAGCATGGTTGCA